AGTGCTCACTGTGCTGCTCGTGGGTGCGGTACTTCCAAAGTAGAGCCCCTGAAAATGCACTGAGCCAGTCAACGCTCCACCAAACCTACTGTTCCAACTTTCGCTCGAATGCCACCACCTTCTCAGCAGCTCCCTCATTTGTATGAACTTCCCACACACCATCACAGCCCAGTACAATATGAGTATCTTTACTCGTCAATGCACGCACTCTGAAGATTTACCACATAATCCAACACTCCTATTATCCCTCCTACCTGATGTCCGGCATGCCCGAAATAATCTGGCACTCAGGATACAGCTTCTTATCCTTCTTATATCGATGATCACCAAGTGAACGGGACAGGTTGAGGTCACCTACGCCTCCAATATCCTATCGCGCCAGAGCCTATCGAATCACCTTGGACTCTATCGCCTCCTTCACACTGCTGTATTATCCCACCCGCCTGGGTGATGCGTTCCTTCTCGACAGGCTGAGCGACGAGACGTCATAACCACACTGGTCACTCCGCACCACTACCTGTGAAGGCTTATGGTCCTCCGAAAGATCATATGCCTTCCCATCTCGGACAACAAAACACCTGATGCGCATCTCCACAGCGGCCAGGTTGCCATCTAACCCACCTAGAGTCCCCAGCATTAGCACATACAAGCCTTGGGAATTCCTCATCATCACCAAGAAGGACCAAACACACAACAGCAGTGCAACCCTAAGAATGTATGAACATTCCTAATTCACCACCTAAGAACCACCTCACCTGCCCTTCAGGGGAAGAGTCTCTACCAATAACGTCATTGAAGGTAGACTGACGCAGTTCCAAAAAGCCATCATCGGTACATTCCACACGGGACCCTACACCCACAGAGAGAGCATAGACAGTGAGAGACTATGTACGAGTCTTACTCAGGTCTTTCGGTAGGTCCGGTATGAGGACTTCGAGTAGAAACAATATACCGTCGAGTGCAAGCTGAATGCATACAATTGAGCATTCAAATAACGACATATAGCACAACTCCTACCTGTTTCTTGTCCTTCTTTGGCCGCTGTTCTGAACAAGCCATGAAGGTGATTCCACCTCATAATATCGT